CGGTGGACGAAGCCACCGCAGAAGCCCAGACCATAGTGACTCATCGGGGGGCGTTCAAATGCAACCGACTCCAATTTGGGGTGAGCGTAGCCCCAGGACTTTTTCAGAGTGTTATGGAGCGGTTGCTGCAAGGCATTCCGGGGGTGGTGCCGTATTTCGACGATGTCCTCATCTCCGCGACATCGAGAGACCAGCTGAACGATCGCCTGCGCCAAGTCCTTAGTCGGTTTCAGGCCCGGGGATTGAAAGTAAAAAGGGACAAATGCAAACTAGGGGTCCCAAGGGTAGAATTTTTGGGATTCTTGATCGATGGCCAGGGCATCCATCCCACAGACGAAAAAATAAAAGCCATAAAACAAACACCCACACCCAAAAATAAAACAGACTTGCAGGCGTTTTTGGGACTCTTAAACTTCTATGCTGTCTTTTTAAAACAGAAGGCAACAGTAGCGGAGCCGCTCCACCGACTTTTGGGAAAGGCGACCATGTGGACCTGGGGCCAGAGGGAAGCACGAGCTTTCGCAGCTGTTAAGGACCTGCTCACGTCATCCAGCGTCCTAATTCAGCACTCGGACACCCTCCCGCTCCAACTCATGTGCGACGCATCGCCTTTTGGCATCGGAGCCGTCCTCAGCCACGTTCTACCCAACGGCAGAGAGGCACCGAAAGCCTACTATTCCAAGACTATGTCCCCAGCTGAGCGAAACTACAGTCAGCTGGACAAAGAGGCCCTCGCCATCGTGGCTAGCACAAAGCGATTCCACGAGTACCTATATGGAAGGCATTTCCGGGTCATCACGGACCACAAGCCTCTACTGGGACTACTGGCGGGGGACAAACAGACTCGCCAATTCCTGTCACCCAGATTGATCCGTTGGTCGATATTCCTCGTGGGGTACGACTACGAGTTGATCCACAAACCCGGGGCCAGCATCAGCCACGCAGACGCTCTCAGCCGATGCCCAACACCCGGCCACATCGCCGACCCAGCACCGTTTGCCACCGTGCTCCTGGTGGACGTCGACTCCTCCAGCCCGGTCACCTCG